CCACAGGGAGTTAGGCATTTGAATTGCATGCAGCTAACTCCGGTTTAATCCCCAGCAGTACACAGGGACCCCCCACCCCCCGCCCAGCACTGCCAGGAGTGACCCCTATGAGCACAAAGTCAGGAGTAAGCCCTAAATACCACTGGTATGGCACCCCCCAAAAAATATATTATCCAAAAAAAGCAGCCAATACTGGGTACATGCTCAGTACCCTTGATGTGCCCTTGGCTCAAATCCTCCCAAAGACCACAAATGGTGAACAGAGACATGTTATGTCCAGATACCCAGAGATGCTAAGAGCTCTGTTGAATGGTGCATGGTCCATGGGAGGTGAGTGGGTGGTCTGCAGCCCACACCTGTGGGTCATCTCCTTCAAAGGCCTCCAAGCCCTATGTGCTATGCACCTAAGACACACACAGGGAGCTTGCAGAAGCAATTTTTCAGAACTTTCCCTGGTGTCTGAGCCCCTAGTCAGGTAGCAGACCTGGGTGTCTGCTTTGCTCCAAGAGAGCACTGTGATTCTCACAGTGGTCTCTCTTCTTCCTTGGAGCCCAGTGCACAGTTGGGTACACAGCATTGGGTCAATACAACTGCTGAAGCCATACAGTTGGAACAGATTTAGCCTTGCTATCCACAAAGCATGCTGGTACTTTCTTTTCTTTTGAAAAAGCTGGAAGTGAGTCATGGAGATAGCTCACAGGGATGGGGTGCATCCTGTACATGAAGGAGGACCGGGTTGGACCCCACATTGCATGTCCCTGTCCCTACTCTCTTCGCACTCGGCATAGAGCAAGTCTTGCTGTGTGTGTGGTGAAAATCCAACCACCGGGGCTGGAGCAATAGTACAGCAGGTAGAGTGTTTGCCTTGCACGTGGCCCACCCGGGTTCGATTCCGAGCATCCCATATGGCCCCCTGAGCACCGCCAGGAGTAATTCCTGCGTGTAAAGCCAGTAGTAACTCCTGTGCATTGCCAGGTGTGACCCAAAAAGCCAAAAAAAAAAAAAAAGAAAAAAACTAACCCAAAACAAAACAAAAACCCAACCATCATTGAAAACTGGATGTCGTAACTAAATTGTTTCTGGGGCTCGGCAATGTGCATCTGGCACAGGTCATGAACACTTTTCTGGACAGATCTGGAGCTCAGGATTGGAGATTTTGGCCTTGCTGCCTGCTACTGAACTTAGAACTGGGGGTACTGGTCGAGGAGTCAGGAAAGCAGAGCCTAGGAATATTGCTTAGATGGTTTTTCTGTTTCTTCACACATCATCACTCAAGCCTTGCAGAGCATGAAGTCCATTTACAAGGATGGGCAGTGAGGTTCCAGGATCAAGGCATATCCCTCCTCTCCTGGCCAAGGCTCTAGAGCTGGGGTGAGGAGCAGGAGAGAGGGACCAGGCCCCCCCTCCAACAGCAACTCCTTCAATCCACACACTTGGGAAATCAGTGTTGGCTTTTGTGGGCAGAGAGAGAGGGTACCCACACATGAAACTCTGCCTCCTGACCCCTTTTTCTAGCCTCCTCGCCCTGTGCTTACAGGGGCAAAACTCTCCAGGTTGCATTTTCACTCTCCACCGTGAACAACTGGGACCTCACTGCCGCAGAGGTCATGGTCTGCTTCTGCTAACAAAATCAAATCCTGGAGCTTTCTCGGGCGGCCAGAGCCAGCCCCCGTAATCTACCGCTGCTTAAGGGAGCTGCTTTTCGGCAGAAAGCAACCTGAGGTCTGTTTTAATTGTGGAGAAACCACGCACCCCAGGATACACTCCAGGCAGAACAAGAAAATCCCACACTTGGATGTGCGACCCAGAAGATTAGCGGCAGATGCACAGAATCCTTCCTGCCCTGGGCATGCCAGCCCCCAGCCCTCCTCCTCCTCCTCCTGCTCCAGAGACCTGCCCAAAGGAGCAGAGCCAGTGGGAGGCAGAAACAGACACTCTGGAAAGGAACTGGACCCAACCATCGAAGGGGCATGAGCGGCGCAAAGGTCAATTGGGGGTGGTTTGTGTGGGTTCTGTGGTGTTCCTTTCTGAATCCTGTACTGGGCCCTCCTGGTGTGGAGAAGATGGGTAGCCAAGAATTTCCGTTGACAATGGGGGTGGACACCAGGGCTGTTCTCTGCCCTGATACAATAGGGCTGGCAGACTCCCAGATTAGTCAGCACTCAGGCGGGGAGGGGTGAGTTAATGCGCCCACACTGGGGTCTGACCACCTACTCTGAATGGAGAGCAGCCACGGGAGATGCCAAAGGAAAAGCTGTTGCCGCCTCTCTGGTCTCTTCCGCTGGTACATAACTGGGCCTGTCCTGTTCCCGTCACACTCTAGGCTAGCACACACAGACACCTGGTGCGCAGCCAGTGTTCAGCAAACATGCCCCCGAGTGAATATATGCACCAAGAGACTTTGCCACTATCAACAGTTCCCCAAAGTCCTGCAGAGCACTGAGAAACTTTTATGAGGAATCAAACTGGGAAAAGAAGGGGGTCGAGGGCTGGTTTTAGGGGTTTCTTGGGTCTTTGCTATTCCCAAGTACATTGTGACTCTCTGGAGTGGGGGGGGGGGGGGCAAATCTTTGCTCAGATCCCTCTGTCCCTTGTATAAAGGGAACAGGAGTGAGATGAGGGCGGTCAGCTGGGCTCAGTCACTGGTTGTCCATCTCTCAGAAAGATCAGTGGGCTGCCCTGGGACTGCACATCATGAGATTTTGTTTGGAAACAAGAAATGTGTCTCAGTGGCTGAGGACTTGCCTTACATGTATGAGACTGTGGGCTCCATCCCCAGCACCAGAAAAGAAGTTCACAGATATATAAATGCAAGTTGGGGTGGGACCCATTTGACGCAGCAATACAACTTCTGGGAATATATCCTGGAGATGCAAAAAAGCACACTAGAAATTACATCTGCACCTGTATGTTCATTATAGCACTGCTCACGATAGTCAGAATCTGGAAACACCCCGAGTGCCCGAGAACAGATGACTGGTTAAAGAAACTTTGGTATATCTACACAATGGGATACTATTAGAAAAGATGAAATTACGAAATTTGCATATACGTGGATGGACATGGAGAGTATCATGCTAAGTGAAATGAGTCATAAAGAGAGGGACAGACATAGGATGACTGCCCTCATTTGTGGAATATAAAGTAACATAATAGGAGACTAACACCTAAAGACAGTAGAAATAGGGCCAGGAGGATCACTCCACAGCTTGGAAGCTGGTCTCACATGCTGGGAGAAAAGGCAGCTGGGATAGAGAAGGGACCATGAAGTAAATGATAATTGGAGGGCTCGCTCAGGATGGTAGGTGCATGCTGAAAGTAGACTATGGACCAAACATGATGGCCACTTCGTACCTGCATTGCAAACATAACATCCGAAAGGAGAGAGAGAAAGAGAGAATGTGCCTGCCGCAGAGGCAGGGATTAGGAAGGGGTGGGGGTGGCGGGAGGGAGACTGGGAACATTGGTAGTGAAGAATGGGCACGGGTGGAAGGATGGGTACTTGAACATCGTATGACTGACACGTAATCATGAAAGTTTGTAAGTCTGTAACTATATCTCACGGTGAGTCATTAAAATTAAATTTTTTAAAAATGTAAAAAAATAAGTTGGGGTGGGAGCAGGGCAGAGAGATAGCATGGGGGGAGAGGGGACAGAGGTAAGACACTCGTTTTGCATGTGGCTGTGGCAATCATGACCCAGAACTGAGTATGGTCTCCTGAGCATAGATCAGGGACAGCCCCCGAGTACTGTTGGGTGTGGCCTAAAACCAAACCAAATTAACAAATAAATAAAAGCAGTTAGGGTGCCAGCGCCATAGCATAGTGGGTAGGGTGTTTGCCTTGCATGCAGCTAACCCAACTTTGATCAATCCCCTCTATCTCATATGGTCCCCGGAGTATTGCCAGGAGTTGTTTCAGAGTGCAGAGCCAGGAATGACCCCTGAACATTGTTCAGCCCCCAAATCTAATAATAATAATAATAATAATAATAATAATAATAGAAATGCAATTTTGGAGGTCAGAGAGATAGTTCAACTAAGTGTATTCTTTCTGAGATTCCTAGGTTTGATTTCTCAGCATCCTGAGTCCCTCAAACACTGCTGGGTTGGAGTCCCCAAGTAATAATAATGATAAGAACAACGAATTGGTAGAAATGAAGGAGTCTGGTGACAGTTCAGTGGTAAGAGCATCTGCTTGGCAAACTCAAGGCTGTGAGTTCCATCCCTAGCAGCACCCTGCTTGCCTAAGTATGACCCAGAGGTTCTGCTGTTTGGATTCCCAACACCATAACCGAGAGTGTGCTCCCTTCTCACTAAAGTAGCAACAGCACCAGAAAATGAAAAATAAACTGGAGAAGGGCCGAAGCGATAGTGCAATGGGTAGCGTGCTTGCCTTGCATCTGGCTGACCTGGGCTTGATCCCCAGCATCCCATCTGGTCTCCCGAACCTTGCTGGAAGTGATCCCTGAGTGCAGAGCCAGGAGTAAGCCCTGAGCACCACCATGTGTGGTCCACAAAGTTCCCCTCCATCCCCCACCCCCAATAAGCTACAGAAACAGAGACTGCTGCCTGCGGGTTTCCAGACAGCACCATCCCATGTTTTCATGTGCCTGAGCCGGCTGTGCCCTGTGAAGTTAGGGGGTGGGGGAGACACCCTTTTCCCAAGAGGGCCCTTCGTCAGGAGCTTTGTGGACCCTCAAGACCCTGGGCTGGAGCGATAGCATAGTGGGTAGGGCATTTTCCATGCACGCGGCCAACCCGGGCTCGATTCCCAGCATCCCATATGGTCAACCGAGCACTGCCAAGAGTAATTCCTGAGTGCATAAGCCAGGAGTAACCCCAGGTGTATCGCCGGGTCTGACCCAAAAAGAAAAAAAAAGACCCTTCGGAGGTCGTGATGTCTGAGGGGCTCCACAGTGGAAGCAGAGGTGGCTCAGGTGGGGAAGGACCTGCCCAGGGGGCCACGCTCAGTTGCTCAGCCGAGGCAGAGCCCACTTACCTGCATGAAGCTAAATTCCCTCCAGTTGAGTGAGTTTGCGATGGACGGCAGCGAGGTGACGGCCAGCAGGGCCAGGGTGCCGAGGGCCAGCACGCCCAGCGACAGGTAGATCTCCATCCTCCAGACTTCCTCCTCATTCCACAGGTGACTCTTATTGGTCAGGACCTGAGAGGGTGGAAGCAAAACCAAGTCCTGGGGCGCAGGTGGGTGCTGGGGCAGGCAGAGGCATGAACAGCTGCTTCCTCCACTCCCCCCTCCCCTACCCCGCCCCCAGCTCTGTCCTCTGTGGTTCTCAGATTCCAGCTCATGAAAAAACCCCACCCATCCCAAGCAAGAACCCAGGAGGTGCATCGGAGTCCCCATCACAGATGAGGGAAGGGAGGTACCAACCAAAGGTCTTCCCCAAAGGACACATTCAGCTCTGAGAAGGAGGGGAGCTGGGCCCAGAGACTAAAGGCTCATCTGAATCTACAGGGGGAGAGGGAGGCGGTCAAGCTGTCTGGAGACCAGCCAGGAGGGAGAAGCCAGGAGACCAGCAGATGCTTCCCACAGGACCGCGTCACAGGGACTCTGATCCCCAAATCCCAATATGGGGGATGAGCTATCCTAGTTTAGAATCCCTCAGGCAGAGGGGTGCATGCCTTCCAGTCTGTCTCCCCCGGATACTTGGCCCTCCTGCCCTCCCCCCAACACCCCTGCCAGGAGCCCTCATCATTGCCTCTAGCTTGAATACTCTCATTCTCTCTCTCTCTCTCTCTCTCTCTCTCTCTCTCTCTCTCTCTCTCTCTCTCTCTCTCTCTCCATCTCACACACACGTTTTCTCACATACACTTACACACAGTCACACTCACACACACTCTCTCTCTCACACACACACTGGCACACACACCCTAGCCCCATCAATGCCCCGATTCTGAGCCTCTGGTTCCACCTGCCCCTCTAGTTCCCCATCTCCGTTTGAGGCATCTAGTGTTGGCTCGGCTGTTGCCAGGCAACAGAAGCTGACATCCAGTCACCCAGCAGCTTGGCCAGCTTATCGCACGCACCTGCTAGATGCCCACAGTCTCGGACTGCCCACAGCAAGGCTACCTACCCGCCCAGCTCTGGACCCTCACCCAGCTCCATGGACACATAAATTGGGGCGTGCTCTCCCTGCTCCCGGGACCGGAGAGTTCTCCCTCCTCCCTCGGTACCCCGAGGGCCTGCAAACTGAGCACAGACGCAGGGGAGACCTCTCATTGTGGCCCTCCCCCGAGAGCCCACGTTTCCTAATGACAAGGGGAGCCGCCTTCCTGGAAGCGGAGGCACGCTCTGAGAAAGCTCAGCCACAGGGGCGCTGTCATTCTCCCGGAGAGCAAGGGGCAGCTGCACCAGCAGGAAGCGAGTGAGGCAGGTCTCGGTGGGCAACACGAGTGACTCAGACTTTCAAGAACCTATTTCAGCGGGGGTGGGAAGTGGGGGCAGGGAGGAGAACACCCCAAGCAAAAATAAAAAAAATAACCAAAAAACTGAGTCCTGGGATCCAGATAGAATATGAAAGATGAGCCACAGGGAGACTGTGTGCCATCAAGAGGTGGCATCCACTAGTCCTTATCCTTGTCCCATATCCAGTTGTTGGAGTGGAGGGAAGGGCCTGGTCCCCAGAAAAGGAGGATGTAGGTGGGGCCCCCCAGGCTGGTGGAGAAGGACCCTGCAGCCACGCATAATATCGATGCTGCCACTAGGGGGCAATCGTGATGCCCTAGGGGTTCCCTGCCGGAGTTAAGAGCAACTGTTCTGAAAGTATTTACCCAGGCAGGGACTAAAGGAACAATGTTTGTGAAATAAGTTGATATGATCGGCACATGGAAGGTAATACAATCTGATCTAATTTATGAACCACACCTCCAGTCGAATGACGCCCTTTTGCTATGGCAGTTCTTTTCCCGTGTTCTTCAAAGTGCTCCTCATAAGAGATGCCTGGTATAGGCTTTGTGGTGGCCAATTCAGAGATTGGTTACTTGGCATCCTTACTCTGGGAACCTGGATTAGGAACGATAGGTCTTGAAGTTGGGGAGAGCAGGGCTGGAACTGAGTCCAGCAGCAGATCTGCAAATGACTCATTACTCTGGGGCATGAGGAAACAAATGAACAGTGACCACAGGCTGGGACTGGAGAGAGAGCACAGCTGGTAGGGGTGTCTGCCTTGCACGGAGCAGACCTGGGTTCAGTCCCTGGCATCCCACATGGTCCGTGAGCACTGCCGGGATCCCCGAGCACAGAGCCAGGAGTGATCCCTGAGCATCTCCAGGAGTGACTCCCAATCAAAATATACAACCAGCTGATGATGGAGGAAAGTGGGCACTTTGGTGGTGGCAGGGGAGAGTAACTGTGTGTATATAAACCAAAAATTTTTGACACCACTGCAACTTTCTAAACTATAAATATAACATGAAAATTGTTTTTAATGAAAAATACGACCTATGATAAGGGCACTCATAGGGAATGAGGGATTGAGGTGGGGGAGTTTCACAGAGGCAGAGCTTGAAAGTGGGAATAGGAATTTGCCGGGTGACAAGGCTTTCTAGGGCGAGGAGTCTGCCAGAGGAATGAGCTCAGCTGCCTTGGAGGACAATGTGGGCTCAAGGGGCATGTGTCTCAGGAGAGTGGGTATATGAGATGGAGAGAGTGCCGGCGGGCTGTGTGGCGCGGGTCCCTCCTTATGCCGAGGACAGTGGGACTCAGGCTTCTTCAGCCGTGGCGCCCTCAGCATCGTGCTCCGGTTCTCTCTGACAGCCTGGGCTAGATTTGGGGTGTGGGTAACAGAGAGTGTAGGGGCTCCACACTGTCTTTGATCTATCTTGGTCTCTGCTTTAGATCTGTGACTCTGCATTTCCAGGCCAAGAGAAGCAGCAGGCGCTGTACAAATATTGGTTGTTGCCGGCGGCGGTGGGAGGGGGGGGGCGGAATGTCAACAAACCTGGCTTGAGAGGTATTTCTCCAAAGATGGACCACAGCACTGCCTCCCAATGAGGGGCTTTCAGGCAACCTTGGCGAGTTACCAGCTCCCAGGAGCACAAGGTCCTGCGGGAGGGGGGCCAAGGGCAGACTGGAAGTCACCCATCGACGGTGACGACAGTTTGCAGCCGACTGAAGTGACCCTGTAGATCCTGACCGTGTGCTTGTCGGGCCCCCTCTCCTGCATCAGCTTGAATACCTCCAGGTCTGGCCGAGTCACTGCCAGCCGGGCAGTTCTGCTCTGGCAGGCGGCGCCTACTCCATCTCACCACCCTCTACCCCTGTGGGCTCACACCAGCCAGCCCAGCTCTGCCCTTAAGCCAGCTTAAAACCATTTTGTGTACCAGAAGAGCTTTGATTCCATCCTCCATGGGTGATGCTTCCCTGCAGCCTGGCAGCCTCCAGCAGGGCCCTTGGGCCCCAGGGGCTTTGGAATTCTGGAAAAGTCCTCCGCAGGCCGCCCTCGATGGCCTCCCATTCGTCTCGTGGAAACACCAGGTTCACAGAACACCAGGGAGAGCATCGGCAGGGTGGAGACTTTAGAGACAGGAGGCCCCAGGGGAGGGGCGGAGGGTAGGCGCAGGGGACTGGGCCCATGGGGTCCAGGGAACATTTCCGCCACCCCGCCGCCCGAGTTCCCCTTTTGCCACGGACATCTTCGACCTCCCGGGTAGCAGATACTAGGCCAGTCCCCGAGGAGTCACACAGAGCTCGCTTCTGCCGAGCCGGCTGACTCACGTTAGGAGCAAATACCACCAGACACGTTAGGATAGGAACACCTTGATCTTCACATCAGAGCTCCAAAGAGGGGCTGAGGTTGGTTCAAGGTCAGGGTCTCTGCTCTAGTCAGTGTCCGTGGGGGGTGAGAGGTGAGGACTCTGGCTCCACGTTGCCATGCAGCAGCTAAGGCCAGGGGCGGAAACTGCTGTTTCTGCCATGACTGGCTCCACAACGGGCTGGCTCTGGAGTCGGACGCAGATGCTCAGTGAGCAACTGAGTGAATGACCTGAGTTCTGACGTCATTAACTCCTCTGCTCATTTCTCTGTAGGAAGTGGCAAGAAAGTGAGCGTGGATCTGGAGCTGAAGGGCTGGGTGTGACCTCCCAGCTTTGCTGCTTACTGGCTGTGTGACTTTAGTCAAATGGCTTACCCTCTCCGTACCTCAGTTTGCCCACCTGTAAATGGGGGGGGGTCTTATAACACCTGCTTTATAGAAGTAAGAAAAGAATGAATCCACACCCAGAAGCCCCGAGAATTGTACTCGGAGCTCAGCAAGCTCCTTTGAGGGGTGTGTGACTGTTATTCCTCCCCCCCTTCTCATTTCCAGCAGGCATTCTGCACTTGGCCTGAAATCTGGGGTTCTTCCTTTTTCTTCAGAAAGCCTAAGCCCACAGAATGCAATGATGCCAAGTGCCCGTGGGCGGGAAGGATGCGGCCATTTGGGTAGCTGCCAGCAGCGGGCAAGGCCCCTGAGAGCCAGCAGGGGCTGGAATCTGTGGTCCCTGGGGGAAGTTTGGGGAAGGGGGCGGGGGAGGGGGGAGGGTTTCCCTACCAGCTTCTTTTCCTGGGGAAGAGGGGCACGGCACGGTGATGAGGTAGGCCCAGCCTCAGCAGGATCAGAAACTGCAGGGCCTCCTGGAGTGGGGGTTGGGGAGATGAGTAGTGCTCCCTGCACCTGGGCCAACGCTTAGTGAGTGCCAAGCGTCCGGGGAAAGGCAGCCCCGTCCTCACTCGCAGAGCTGAGCTGGCACTCAGCAGCAGGCCGTGAGCTTGGGAAGCCGGAAGGAGCCTTGGCTCTGAGGATCCAGTCAGAGCAGGTGCCCCCGCCCCTCCCCCCATTCCCAGGCAGCCTGCCGGCCAGAGGGCACCAGAGAGGTTCTTAAAGGAGAGGACACTAGCCACCCCCAAATCCTGCTCTGACAGCCTCCATCTCAGTTAATGACAGGGCCAGGCACCCCCGGCACTCAGGCCCCACCCCCCTCGGCTTTCTGGGTCAGCTCCCCTGGCCTCCTGGCCCCCGAGAGCCTGTCCTTTCAGGCTTTAAGTTGGCACAGTCCAGCCCTTCTCACCCAAGGCCACTCCGCCCACTCTGAGCCTTGTCCTCCTTGTCAGAGCTCCCGCACAGGCTGCGCACCGCTCTCTCTGCATTTGCCTTGCTTTGCCACCCCCGGAGTAGCCCCTGTGATTGAGTCCACTGCTGAGTCCTTCTCCACGGTTCCTTTCAGCACATCCGTCACTGGTTCCCGATCTGATGCCAAATCCCAGCCAAGGCCCTGCCTGGCCTGTGTGCGACCCACCCCCACACCACCCAAGCTCCCCTCTCACCCTGCCCAGTGTGACCACGGAGGCCCAACGGTGCCCGCAGGGTCAGCATCCCCAGGTTGCTGATTGCTCCTGAGCTGGCCACTGGCTCACCCTGACCTCTTCCTCCTCCTTTGCAACAAGCCCCTCCCACCTGTCACCACCCCAGGGGACACCCCTGGGGTGGGCTTCCCCACTCTATTTTTCTTTTCTTTCTTTCCTTGACTTAGGGGGAGTTTCTGGGCTACACCTGGAAGTACTCAGGACTTACTCCTGTATCCGTGCTCACGGATCACTCGGGGAAGCCTATGACATGCCGGGTTCTGAACTGGGGTTGATCACAGGCAAGGCAAGCACCGTATCTCTGAGCTCTCTCTCCTGCCCACTGTTTGATTTTTCTCCTTCATACCAGCAACTCTTTAAATTTAACTAATTAATTACATTTATTGCATTTATGGAAGTGAACTACCAAGGTTATTGTACTCTTTCCTTCCTTCCTTCCTTCCTTTCTTTCTTTCTTTCTTTCTTTCTTCCTTTCTTTTTGATTTTGGGCCACATCCCACAGTGCTCAGGTGTAAGGCTCCGCACTCATGAATCAATCCTGGTGGTGCTTGGTGGACCATATGGGATGCTGGGGATTGAACCCAGGTCAGCTAGTTGCCAGGCAAATAACCTATCTGCTGTACTATTTCTCCGCCCCTTCATGTATTCTTTTTAAGAATTTTTTTTCTTAAAAGCTACTTGCGATTCTGGAGAGACAGTACAGCAGGTCGGGCACTTGCCTTGCATGCGACCAACTCAGGTTTGATCCCTGGCATCACATAGTTCCCCAAGCCTGCCAGGAGTGACCTCTGAGCTCAGAGGCAGGAGTAAGCCCTACGCACTGGTAGATGTGCCTTCCCCCGCCCAACCCCCCAAAAAAATCAACCTTAGAAAAGTAAGTAAAGAATGACTCGGGAAGGGAAGTGACCCAGAACAATACTACAGCAGAGAGTGCATTTGACTTGTACACTGCTGAGCCAGGTACAACCCCTGGTACCCCATATGGTCCTTTAAGCCCTGCCAGGAGTGAGCCTCTAAGCACTGCTGAGTATGGCCCCAAAAGAAAATAAAACAAATGAAAAAGCTGCTTGGGAAGAAATAATTAAATAGGAACAAGTTATTTTCTATAAGGTACTTATAGAAGGTGCTTGAACTGTGTCACTGGGGGCAAAAGGTGGAGCGGATTCCCAGGCCTGACTATGCCAAGTCTCTGTCTCTCCTTCCTGGGCTGCGCTAGAAGCACCGGGATATCTGTTTTGTTCACCTTCACTCAGAATCTCGGAAGCGGAACGCGGTGTTGCCTCGTGGGAAGGTGCAGGCTGTGTGCACGGGAAGAGGCCAGGGCCCGCTTACCTGCTTGACGGCCAGGTTGACCAGGTCGTAGCGGTGCGCGCGGCGCAGGGGCAGACAGAAGCTGTAGACAGCGTGCAGGGCAGCGCAGAAGAAGCTGAGCAGGCCGATCTGCTTGCGGTGCTGCAGCCAGTGGTCCAGCCAGTCGGGGAAGCGGCTGTACTTGGTGCCGCGCTGCAGCTGCAAGGCAGCCGCCAGGACGCCGGGCAGGTAGACCAGCGAGAGCAGCACGTAGGCCACGCACGGCAGCGTGGTGTTGACCACGGTCACGGGGAGCTTGTAGAACTTGTTATTGTTCTCCTGCACGTAGGGATGCAGCACATCCCGGATGAAGTTGTAGGCATAGAAGAAGACGAAGAGCCCCAGGGTCAGGAGAGTGGGCACCTTCCAGCCCGGGAAGAGGCGCAGGGGGATGGCCTCCACCTCCCGGGATGATGCTAGGGACCCCATGTCCACGGGAGTGAAGCCCATGGCTTGCACCATGGAGGAGATTGTGCGCTTGGCTTCTGGCTGGTCGCTGCAGACGGGCACCTGTGGGAGGAAAGTGTGGGGAAAATTAAATGTGGTCCCAGCACAGAATGATTGCATGCTTTTGTGGAATGTAAAAAAAAAAATGTATAAGGCTAATACTCAAGGACAGCAGAAACAAGGGCCAGGGGGTTAGGTCTATGTCTGGAAGCTTGCCATAAGTATTGGAGGGGAGGGGTGAGTCAGGGAGAGGGCAATTAGGATAGAGAAAGGACCACTATGACAATGATAGTTGGAAAATGATACTCTGGAAAAGTCCAGAGTGGTAGTCGTCACTCTGGACAAGAATTGAGTGCTGAAAGCAGGGAAAAGGATATACACGATGACCTTTCAGTACCTGGATTGCAAATCATAATGCAGAGAGAGAGAGAGAGAGAGAGAGGGAGAGAGAGAGAAGGAAAGTGCCTGCCATAGAGACAGGCTGGGGGCGAGGATGGCGGGAGGGAAACTGAGGACACTGGTGGTGGGAAATGTACACTGGTGAAGGGGTGGGTGTTGGAACACTGTTTGACTGAAACCCAATCATGAACAACTTTGTAACTGTGTATCTCATGGTGATTCAATTAAAAAAAATTCATCAACTGCTAAGCCAACTCCCCCTCCCAACACACTCCCTCCCCGGGGGGAAAAATATGCTCCCAGATTGTGAGGCTGGGCAGAACCTCAGAGAACATGTGGGACAAATTTTTTTTTCTGAGCAGCAGAGGAAACTGAGAACCTGAACTTCCAGTGAACTGTGTCGCTGGGAGCAAAAGGTAGATCTGATTCCCAGGCCTGGGGTCCTCCCAGAGTCTGGCCAGGCACACAGAGCAGTGTTGTCCACTCCAGTAGGGCATCAGGGCTATCCTAACACTGGTTGCACTATCATAGTCATTGCCAAGAGCAATAGTGTTCTGCAGGCAGCCTCCAAGGCTCTTGGAGAGGGAGCTTTCAGGACTGTCGCTTGCCTCAGGGGTCACTCAGCAACTGTATTTTGTATATAACCCTAACTATTCATCTTTTTTTGTTATTGTTGTTGTGTTTGGGGGTCACACCTGATGATGTCTGATGGCCCATCTCGGCTCATTGCTCAGGGGGTGTCTCCAGTAGTGCTCAGATTTTGCGGTACTAGGAATTAAGCCCGGGGTTCCTACATGCAAAGCCTTTGTTCCAGCTCTTAGCACGAGCTCCTCCCCAAACCCCAAACATACAATTATGGCTTCATCTGTCTCTCAGTCTATAAGTGTTTTCCTCTTGGAGAAATGCTGTCCCCAGAACCCTGTGGTCCTCAAAGCACTAGGCTATCCACAAGCCAGCCCAGATTTGTAGCCTATTATTCTTCACCTTGAGGTCCCGTGAAGGCACAAAATACCCCCAGACTCCAGACTCCCCATATGCTTCATGGGCCTTGCTGACTCTGCCATGGTCATCTGGTCTACCAACGTGACCAGTGCCTCTGTGTGTGTGTGTGTGTGTGTGTGTGTGTGTGTGTGTGTGTGTGTGATCACACAGTGGATCCCTCAATCTCACTATAAGCCTACTGTTCCCATTTTTCAGGTGAGAAAACTGAGGTCTGAGAACCTCATTTTTCACCTCTCTGCTCCTGCATATAGTTCCTGCAGCCTAAAAAGTCCTCTGTGCTCCCCCTGCCACACAATAGAAGGTGAGGCCAAGGCTGAACTATCTTTCCTAGCTGGGCTCTTCCTCAGTGCCCTCTGAGCCTTGACATCCAATACCCACTCATCCTGGCTAACTCACTCTTGGATATCCCGAGATATAGGCTGCAGTGAGGGGCAGCCAGGCACCTGTGGGTTCAACTATGGCTGGCATGGAAAGAGACAGAGGAGGTGTCGGCTCACTGATGGAAGCTCTCACACATAGGTAGGAGCTGGCATCCGTCCTCTTGGCACAGGCACACTGACTTGGTGAGAGAGAGCTCCTCCTACCAATTTGGGCTATTCTCTGGAACTGCTTTCCACCCCCCAGAAAATCCTGCTGTTGCCTATTTTGAGAAACCTTCTCAGTTCTTGGAAGCTGGAGAGAGTGAAATCAAGTTCCAGACATGCCTGCTTCTTAAGGACCTGGCACCTAAGTGTGTGACTCTCTCTAGGTCCAATCTGTACAGAAGCATCACTCTTCTTTTTATTTTTTTTCTGCCTTTTGGGTCACACCCGGCAATGTACAGGGGTCACTCCTGGCTCTGCACTCAGGAATTACCCCTGGCGGTGCTCAGATACCATATGGGATGCTGGGAATCAAACCTGGGTTGGCCACATGAAAGGCAAAAGCCCCACCCGCTGTGCTATCGCTCTAGCCCCCAGCACCTCTCTTCTTGATCCCACATGGTAACCAGAAAGCCATTTTGCTCCCTAAAAAATCAAGTGACCAAAGAAGAAAGAGCTCGGGTTTCAGATTCATAGGAACTGAGTGCAAATCTCATTTCCAAGCCTCCATTTCCTGCTCTGTGGAGTGGAAGATTGTGATAGTGAGCTGCGATGAGACAACATGCATGGAGCCTGGCACTCTGGAAGAATAAACACCAGGAAGTGACTGACTGCTTGCTGTTGGTCATCTGGTCGACCAACATGGACCAGCACCTGTGTGTCAGGCCAACCAGAGGATGGTGGTTGACCTGCAGAAACCTACCTGCCTATTTCCATCTCGCGGGCCAGACTGCAGGGTCCAGGCGGAGATGACGTTGAAGGCCTTGACCACAGTGCAGGCGGGAAAGAGCGACGCCAAGTACTCGGCATTAGACTGGTGGTACTGGAGATGTTCCTGCTCTGTGGGGTTGCTCACATCCACCAGGATCTTACCAGCGAGCTGGTCACTGAGGCTGCAGAGGGAGGAGTAGTGCTCGCGGTACACGGCCACGAAGATGACGTCAGGGGCACCCACCGCCTCCTCCTGGAATGTCACTTGTGCTGCCGAGGGAAACAGCCCAGCCGTGCGTTTAGGGTTGCGGCTCCCCACCACCACGCTGAAGCCGGACCCCACCAGGCGTGTGGCCAGGGAGCGAGCAAAGTCCCCACTGCCCAGGATGCCCACTTTGGGGACTCCACTGGGGGCTTCAGCGAGGCTGCCATCACTCTCCACCAGGCGATGGCTGAGCAATGGCTTGTCCATGTCTCCCGGCATCTTGTTGGCTGGAAGAGAAGGAAGCTGGTAAGTGGAGGTCTCCCAGATGGGCTCTCTGACCATGCTCTCCCCTTTGTCCATTAAACCCATGGGCCTTCCTGAGTGCCGGAATGTGCTGGCATAGGGGCAATGGGGACACTGTGTGTGAGCTCAGGATCTCTCTGAGGACACTCGCTCCCAGAGGCAGATTCAAGAGAAGGAATGCAGAGAAAGGCATGGAATTTCCACAATTGGCGCTACATTTGTTTTTAGAGAGATGACTGCAATATCCAAGGGAGGCACTGAACCCCACCCTCCCTCTCTTTTGATGTTATCTTCAGTGTCAGGAAGGCAGGATGTGCTCCAGTGCGTGTCTGCATTTGCATTTTGGAATGGGACATGGGTGATGCATCTTTTTTAATATTTTAAAAATTTATTTATTTTTTAATTGAATCACAGTGAGATACACAGTCACAAAGTTGTTCATGACTAGGTTTCAGTCATATAATGTACCAACGCCTGTTAAATAAATTTTGAAGTCAGGACCCTCATTTGGCTATCACCATCTGCCATGTACAAGTGCCTGGTACAGAACCGGCACTCAGTATTTGCGAAAGGAATGAATGAACACCAAGCAACTGTTCTTTAAGGATGGAAGTGAATGTGGATCCTGAAATGAGATCAGAATGGGGTCTTGAGATGGGAAGGGTGTGGGGGAGGGAGGCAAGTGTCCGAGGAGTTCCTTCAATGAGTCTAACTTATGAGTGGACGTAAAAGAAGCTGGAATCTTGGGCTGAATTACAGTAAACATAGACAGGAAAGATTGTATCTTATTAATTTATTTATTTTGGTTTGGGGGCCACATCCAGCAGTGCTCATGGCTTACTTCTGGCTCTGTGCTCAGGGATCACCCCTGGCAAGGGACCTTATATAGTGCTGGGGACTGAATCAGGGTTGAGTACACGAGTGTAAGCCAAAAATTTTTGAGTTAGTCACTACTCATGATCAATGGCATCACATTTTTAATCATAAAAGAGTTGCTGTTTAAATCCATCACTAATTTAATTTAAATTTTTTTTTAAAAAACCATCATGCTTTGTTTCTTTTTTCTTTCTGGTGCAAAGGATTGAACCAAAGGCCCCACAGATGCCAGGGAAATCACTCTACTCGAGATATACACACCAGCAACTAATCTCAAGTATGAAATATGGCAGATAGAGGCCAGAGATGTAACTCAGTGGTAGAGCACTTTCTTTGAATGTGTGAGGCCCCAGGTTTGAGTCCCTTGGACCCCTCCTCATAAAATAAACATAAATGTGGTAAATAATACTTCCTAAATATTAAAAAACAAGTGTTAACAATTCTAAAGGGAGAAATAGACAGCAATACATAATTACACTAGGGAGTGCCAATAGCCCACTTTCAATAGTGCATAGATCATCCAGACATAAAATCAGTACAGAGACATTTGACTTGGGGAACTTACTAGACAAAGGAGACTTAAGAGACTGTATTGAACATTCCATCCAACATCATCAGAATACACATTCTCCTCATGTGCACAGGGAACTTTAATTAGTGAAGATCATAGGTTGTGTCATAAAACAAGTTTGAGCAGGGGCTGGAGTGATAGCACAGTGGGTAGGGAATTTGCCTTGCAAGCAGCCAACCCGGGTTCGATTTCCAGCATCCCATATGGTCCCATGAGCACCGCCAGGAGTAATTCCTGAGTGCAAAGCCAGGAGTAACCCCTGAGCATCGTTGGGTGTGACCCAAAAAGCAAAAAAAAAAGTTTAAGCAAACATTAAGATTAAAATCATATCAAGTAACTATTTTGGCCACAGTGCATAGTAACAACAAGTCTCACAATGGAGACGTTACTGGGCCCGCTCGAGCAAATCGATGAACAATGGGAGGACAGTGCTACAGTGGTGTGAAACTACAACAGGAGGGGGTGCCAGATTGGGTAGGGCATTTGCGTAGCATGCACCCAACCCATGTTTGGTTTCCGGTACCTGTATGGTTCCCCCAGCCCCCAAGGAGTCATTCCTGAGCACAGAGTTAAGAATAAGCCCTGAGCACCGCAGGATGTGTTCTCCACCCAAAAAACAAATCAGTATCAGGAGGAAAACAGTAAAATTCATAAATATGTGGAATTAATATGTTCTAAAACAGACAATGAAGAAGAAATCCAAAGGAAATTTTAAAAAGTCTTGAAACACAGGCACTAGGGAGATAGTTCGGCAGTTAAGGATCAGAAATAAAAAGAACACACACAGCAAACTAAGCCTCAATTAAGGCAGAAGGAAGGAAAGACAATGATTAGAGTGGAATTCGATCAAGACAAATGAGTTTGTTTTTATTTATTTTTAATTATTTATTTATTTATTTATTTTTGGTTTTGGGGCCACATCCAGCTGTACTCAGAGGTCACTCCTGGATCTGAACTCAGGAAGGACTCCTGGCAGTGCTCAGGGAACCAGGTGGGACACCAAGGATCAAACCTGGGTTGGCCACATGCAAGACAAACGTGTTACCCACAGTATTAACACTCTGTCCCACGAGTTTGTTTTTAAAGTCAACAAAATTGACAACCTTAGTCTTAAGCTAGATTAGAAAAAAAAAGAAAAAGATTAAAATACAGATAGCAACTTATATCAGAGAAATACAAAGATAACGAGACTATTATACATGTTTATATGTAAAAATATTAGATAACCCAGAAGAAATAGAGAAATTCCCCAAAAGACAGAATCTACCAAAACTGTATAATGAATAACAAGAAACTCTGACCAGACCAATGATGAGCATGAAGATGGGACTGATAATTTAAAAATTATCCCAACAAAGACAAACCCAAAATTCATTGGTTTTACTGAATTCTACCCAACGGCTCATACTCATTCTTCTCCAATTCCTCCAAAAGAAAAAACAAAAAACGAAAAAGTAAATAGAACAATTCCAGGGCAATTCTATGAATCCAGCTTTCCACTGATAACAAAGACAAATAAATATACCTCAAGAGAAAAAAATTTCAGGTCAATATTCCTGATTAAGTTAGATATGAAAATCTTGAACAGAATACTAATAGACCAAATTCAACAGTATATTAAAGATTCTATACGTTACCAGGTAGAATTTACCCCTGGGATGCAAGGATGGTTTAATATATTTAAATCAACAAATATGATACACCACATAAGCAGAATGAGGGATTAAATACAAATGATCATCTCAATGAGTGCATAAGAATAATGTAACAAAATTTAACATCTTTCATGATAGGAACTCTCAACAAATAGGAGAGAAGCAATCAACATAATAAAGGCCTTATGTAACAAGTACAATCTAACATTATATTCAATGATAAAAAAACTTAAAGTTTTTTCCTCTAAGATCAAAACCAAGACAAAGATACCCACTTTTCCCACTTCCATTCATGCAGTATTTGAATTCCTGGTCAGATGAATAAGTCAAGGAAAAGAAATAAAAGTCATTCAGATTGAAAGGAAAGATGTAAAATTGTTTATACATGACATGATCTTATATATTAAGATTCTATGGTCTGGGGCTGAGGGTGTGGCTCAATTGATAACGTATCTTGCATGTACAAGACCCTTGGTTTGATTCCAGGAAACTCAATGATCTTCCAAGCACCACCTGGTGTGGTCCTGGTGATCCCTGAGTAACATTAGACCAGAACAACAACAGAACTGTCCCCCAAGATTAGTTAACAATAAAACAAAAACCCCAAAGCCTCTACCATAAAGCTGTTGGAATAAATAAAGTCGGACTGGAAAGAGAATAGAGGGGTTAAGGAACTTGCCTTGCATTTGGCCAACCCTGATTCAGTCCTCAGCATGACATATGCTCCCCTGAACACTGTAAGGAGCGATTCCCAAGTACAGAGCATGGAGTAAACCCTGAGTACCAGTGGGTGTGGCTCCCAAATAAAATTTTTAATTTTTTTTTTTTTTTTTTTTGCTTTTTGGGTCACACCCGGCGATGCACAGGGGTTACTCCGGGCTCATGCACTCGGGAATTACTCCTGGTGGTGCGCGGGGGATCATATGGGATGCGTGCAAGGCAAAAACCCTACCCGCTGTGCTATCACTCCAGCCCCCAAATAAAAATTTTAAAAGCTAATAAGCTAATTCCAAAAAGTTGTAGGTAATAAAATCAGCATAGGAACTCAGTTGTTTCTACACATTAACATGAACTAGCCAGAAAGCAAAGACAACAATCCTATCTGCAACGCTGCCATGAGAATACAGAGCCTGGGGAACCCCTCCTGAGCTCAGAGCCCATAACTGTGAGCCTTTCCTTGCGAAGAGGGAGATATTTACTGCCTGGTTATAGGAATATTTTTCACATGGTGATGTCAACTGACTTCCTGTTGATACTCTGGAGACTGGATTTCATTTCTGACCTTGCCACCACCACCTGCCTGCTTGCCCAGTCAGTGCCTCAGTTTTCCAGTTCTGAAAGGGGAGCAATCAAAGCAGCTTCTTTACAGGAACAAGGTAACTCACCTTAATTCAGTCTGTGGCAAGCACTTAGGACACAGCCCGCTTGCTGGGCATGGCCGCTCACAGAGGGCGTCAGTCTACAGTTACTAAGTAAATGCTGGCGGCCAGCATGGGCCCTGGGAAGGGGAAAGACACTGAAAAGATGTGGTCGGCAGCTCTCCAGCCCCGGGGAACAGGGTCATGATAGGGGCTTAGCTGGCTGCTCTTGAGTCGAGATGCAGGGGGGTGAGTGTCCCCCCTGGGGGCTACAGTGTTCCCTGATCACTCAGGGCTGGGAGAGACACCTGGGGCCCTTCTCGGAAGCTGCCTTACCCTGGCAAAGACACCAGCCCTACGGCGAGTTTCGCCTTGAAGCAGGAGACTCGTGTGCTCAGGTGTCTAGAGCACACGTGTCTCCACTATGTTAGCAATCTGGAGAACGCCCATCTTTATCTTCTGCGCTTCTCCCCAGAAACCACCATGTGCTGAGCACCCTTTATCATATTAAAGACAAGTCAGAG